CTTAGTTACCACTGTATCTCCTCTTTCAATGATGTCTCGGATGAAGTGGTACTTCCTCTCTATGTGTTTCTGTCTTTTGTGACACGTTGGTTCCTTGGATTGTGCTGCTGCCCCACTGTTATCACAGTAAAGAGTGATGGGACGACTAGCACCTGGTATCACCTGAAGATCCGAAAGAAACTTCTTTAACCATGCGGCTTCTTTTGCAGCTTCTGATGCAGCCACATACTCAGCCTCTGTGGTAGAGTCAGCCACACACGATTGTTTGATACTTCTCCAACAAATGGCGCTGCCATTAAGAGCGAACACATATCCTGAGGTTGACTTTCTTGAGTCAATATCTCCTTGGAAATCTGAGTCCGTGTAACCAATGGTTTCAAGAATCCCACTAGAATAGACCAACATATAGTCTCTCGTTCTCCGAAGATACTTGAGTATATGTTTAACCACTATCCAGTGTTCCTCTCCAGGATTAGATTGGTATCGACTTACTACTCCCATTGCATAGCAGATATCTGGTCTGGTACACAACATGGCATACACGAGACTACCTACTGCCGAAGCATAAGGTATCCTACTCATGCGTTCCCTCTGTTCTGGAGTCTTAGGGGAATGCTCCTTAGAGAGATGAATCCCATGTCAGAAGGGTAAAATACCCCTCTTGGAATTCTCCATGCTGAACTTGGTAAGGATTTTGTCAATGTAAATAGTTTGAGACAATGCCAATATCCTATTCTTACGGTCTCGTAATAGTTTAATACCAAGAATATAATTGGCTTCCCCAAGATCCTTCATATCAAAGTGCTTGCTAAGCTAGGTCTTTATGCCTAACAATACCTCCGAATCATTTCCGATAAGGAGTATATCATCTACATAAAGCACTAGAAAAGATATTGCACTGCCTTGGATCCTTTTATACACACATGGTTCATCAGGGCTTTTCTCAAAACCATAAGATTTAATGGCTTGATCAAACCTAATGTTCCATGATCTGGATGCTTGCTTGAGTCCATAAATAGACTTTTGCAACTTGCATACCATGTGTTCCTGCTCTTTTGCTATGAACTCTTTTGGTTGTTGCATATAGATATCCTCTTCCAAATTACCATTTAGAAAAGTAGTTTTGACATCCATTTGCCAAATCTCATAATCGAGACTTGCTGCAATAGCTAAGAGAATCCGGATGGACTTTAGCATGGCTACCGGCGAAAAGGTTTCTTCATAGTCTACACCTTCTATTTGGGTGTACCTTTTTGCCACCAATCTAGCTTTGAAGGTATCAACCTTCACGTCCGATCCTCTCTTTTTCTTATAGATCTATTTACACCCTATGAGTTTTATCCCTTTAGGTGCTTTTACAAGAGACCAAACCGAGTTTGAATACATAGATTCCATCTCACGGTTCATAGCTCCTAGCTACTCCTGAGCTTCAACATCTTCTAGTGCCTCGTCATAACTAGTGGGATCACCATCTTTTTCAAAAGTGATTTCCTGATTTTATTCTCCCAACAAGAGATATCTTGCAGGTTTATGAACCAATCTCCCACTACGAGTTTGTCGCACTTGATGTTGTGCATCTACAAGAGGATCCAGGTTTGGTGGATCAACAATCTCTTGATGACCCCTAATTGGTGGGTTAACCAATTCTTGATTCTGTTCTTCAACAAATGGTTCTTGCATTTCTACAGGTTCTATTTGTTGATCATCATGCTGAACTTCTGGTTCCTCTGTTTCTTCTAGTTTCTGTGTATGTTCACTTTGAGATATATATTCCCCTCTTTGAACAATCACAGGAACAAAAGCTGGAACCACCTGAGGTTGAGGTAAAACTTGATATGAGACAAGCTCATCAAGAATAACCGTACTCCTTAGCTTGTAATTTGCCATATAGTCCTCCTCTAAGAAAGTTGCATGAGTACTTACTAAGACTTTCTTATCTTTTGGACTATAAAATAACCAACCTCTAGTTCCTGTAGGATAGCCTATAAACATGCACACTTTTGTACGAGAGTTCATCTTGTTTGGCTTCTGTTGTAAGACATGTGCCGGAGCACTCCAAATCTGAATATAGTTAAACTTGGGTTTATACCCTTTCCATAATTCAATGGGTGTCTTTGAAACAGATTTGGATGGTACTCTATTCAATAAGTACATGGCAGTGTCTAAGGTATATCCTCAGAATGATTCAGGTAGAGACGAATATCTGAGCATAGACCTTGTCATTTCTAAAAGGGTTCGATTTCTCTTTTCAGCAACTCCATTCTGCTGGGGTGTCCCTGGAGAAGATAATTGTGAAACTATCCCCTCCTTGGTCAGGTAAGACCTGAACTCTCCAGATAGGTATTCACCAACTCGGTCAGACCGATGAGTCTTGATTTGAACACCAAGATGCTTTTCTGCCTCAGCCTTGAACTCTTGGAATTTTCCAAAAGCTTCAGACTTGTGACGCATCAGGTACACGTATCCAAATCTTGAGTAATCATCAGTATATGTGATGAAATACTCATACCCGCCTCTGGCCTGGACATTTATTGGTCCACATACATCAGTATGTACCAATTCCAGCTGAAGTGTGGCACGATTTCCTTTGGCCTTAAAAGACCTCTTAGTCATTTTACCCTCCAAACAAGATTCACATACTGGTATTGGTTCAAAGACCAGGGATTTTAAACTCCCATTCTTGACAAAACCTTATATCCTATTTGAGTTAATATGACCCAATCGTAAATGCCAAAGATAAGTTTCATTTGAAACCTTTCTTTTCTTAGATAAATGATTATGCTCATCGTCTCCTAATTCAACATGATTAACTTCATGGGATATAGGACTAAGGAAATATAGACCATTAAATAATGTACCGGAACAAATGAACGAAGATGAACTTCTTATTGAAACTGAGGAATTAAACTGAACTGTCAAACCATGTTTAACCAAACAACTAACAGAAATTAAGTTCCTCTTAATATCCGGAACAAATAAATAGTCTTGTAAAACCAAAGTTCTATTATTATCAAATGATAAAACAACTTGTCCTTCTGCTAGTGCAGACACAAGCTCCCCATTTCCAAGCTTCAACACTCTTGACTGATAGGCAAACTATGCTTGAACCACTGCAAAGAGTAGCAAATATGGTTAGTGGCTCCTGAATCAATGATCCATTTATCATTGTAATTCTCCAATAAACAAGCCTCAATCACAAGTAAATTACCCATACCTGGTTTGTTCATACGTGGGCAATTTTTCTTCCAATGCCCATTTTGTCCGCACTTGAAGCACTTACCTTTTGGCTGCTTCATTGCAACAGGTTTGGCAACTGGAATTCCTAATCTCTTCTTTTTCTTGTTCTTGTTACCCTCTTGGGTTTCCCCTTAGGTTTAACAGAACTCTCAGCAGCAAAAAGTTCATTTCCCTGCTTGACCAGAGACTGTTCAGCACTCTCAAGCTCATTCATCAGCTGAGTAAGATCCATATTCAACTTGTTGATATTATAATTTATTTTGAACTAGTTGAAGTATTTAGGAAGTGATTGTAGAAGCAGGTCAACTTTCACCTCCTCGGCAAATTTGATTCCATTGTTATCCGTGTAACATCCCGAGAGCTGACGAGGGCGGGGAGTGATCGCCGGTGCGAAAGAGCATGGGCAAGGAGCGGCTCCTGACAGGCTTCCAGCGGGGGGACACATGCATGAATGAATCGAATCGACACCCGAAAGAGAGGGATTCCAAAGACTGTGCAGGTATGAGACTGCACAGTTTGGGATAGCTTATAAGAATTAATTGGTACTACCTATACTAACAAGATGCATCTGCTTTTCGGTAGCCCGGATCGGAAGAACTCCACAGTTAAGCGTACTTGACTTGGAGCAATTCTGGGATGGGTGACCTCCTGGGAAGTTTTTCCGGGAAAGTGTGCGAGTGAGGAAAAAGCACGCTGAAAAGTCTTGTGTTAGTGTGTGGGACAGTCGTTAATCCTTGCAAGTTGCCAGGCGTTACAAGTGGTATCAGAGCAGAGCCTCTCATCCAGTACGGTGAACCAGGCGAAAGCTGGTGGGCATGTAACATCCTGAGCGCTGACGAGGACGGGGAGTGATCGCCGGTGCAAAGAGGCACGGACAAGGAGCGGGTCTGACAGGCTTCCAGAGAGGGGGTTACATGCATGAATGAATCGAATCGACACCCGAAAGAGAGTGATTCCAAAGGCTGTGTAGTATGAGACTGCACAGTTTGGGATAGCTTATAAGAACTAGTTGGTACTACCTATACTAACAAGATGCATCTACTTTTTGGTAGCCCGGATCGGAAGAACTCCACAGTTAAGCGTGCATGACTTGGAGCAATTCTGGGATGGGTGACCTCCTGGGAAGTTTTCCCGAAAATTGTGCGAGTGAGGAAAAAGCACACTGAAAAATCTCGTGTTAGTATGTGGGGATAGTCGTTAATTCTTGAAGTGGTCGGTCGTTACATTCGGCTCTAGGTTTCTTGGGCTCTTCTCATACTAATAGCCAATTTGGACTTTAGTAAAAGAGCAAACCCAACGGGAGTAGTGAATTGATCATGGTTTCTTGTGAGTGTATTCAAGTATCTATCATGATATATTCAGGCTAACTTGTTTGGGAAAAATATAATTGATAGCATGAAATTAATTTTTTTTTATTCTCATTTCAAAATTGTGTACTTTATCGCTTTAGAGGAAAAATAAATAAAGAAAATAAAAGTGTTTCTTTTTTTTCTTTTTTCGTTTTTGAATACAATAAACATATTTCTTATTCAGTCATATGTTACTCATTAAGGGTTAAGATTTTTTGGTTCTGGATTCTTGAAAACTGGGACTTGGGCCTTTAATATTAGTCCAAAACAACATGCTTATATATTTTTTCAAGATCATTTACATTATTGCTTTTGAGTTTTTTCTTTTCTTTTCTTTTCTTTTCTTTTTCTCTTCATTTTTGCATTTTTTTAAATAAAAAGTAATGGAAGCATTAACAATTGTTTGAGATATAGATAAAAACCATGGGGGATGTAGCAGGAGTACTTTGGCAAGTAGCTACCTGTTTGTTCAGCTGCGGTAAAGTCCACGCTGCCTATGTTTATAAGCTAGAGAAGAATCTAGCATCATTACAAAAGAAGTGGGATTATCTTCTAAACATTAGCACAGATCGGCGAAGAAGAATCGATGAGGCTGAGGGCACTGGGGAGATGCAAAGGACAGATGAAGTGAATGGTTGGCTGCAAGAAGTTCAAAATCTTCAAAAGGTAAACAAACACTTTATTTGGTAAATGCTCGCCGTTCAATTATTTCCTTATATTTTTTCTTATTAAACTCGAAGCATAGAAAATCAATGCCGTATATGGTAGATATATTGTATATATGACCCATGCATAATTTAGACATCTTTTGTTGTTTGTTGGTTTATTTGTTAACTGTAAGTACGGATGATAAATAGTTTGAACTAAAATAATTTTGAGATTATTAAAAAAATATTAGTAAAATAGTTGTACCACTTGTAAGCAGTGGCGGACTTAGAATTTTTTCAAATAACGGGTGAAATTAAAATATTATAATTATATTTAAAATTAATAAAAAATACTAACTATTATAAATATTTTTAAAGGAGGCTAGCTATTAGCACTAATAGTCTGTTATTATTAAAAAAAGATCATTTTATATATATATATATAAAATAAAAAAAATTAAAAGTTAGAGAGAGGGGCTAACTATTAGTATTAATAGTCTATTATTATTAAAAAAAATTATTTTATATATAAAATAAAAAAATTAAAACTTTGGGAGGGGCGGCTACCCATGCTATCGATCCCCTCCCTAGGTCCATCCCTCAGGCAATTGAAAGCCTAGAATATTTTGCACAAGCACTTATGTATGCAACATTTGCAAACACTAGCCTGAGAGTGTGAAACTGGACAGGCGAACACATCATCGATTTTCCACCATATATAACACATGATAGAACACCCACTTAAGCACCCCAAACCAATCATTAGGGAGAACAAATTCAATCAATATCGGATCACTCTATCTCGAACTATATAGGAAATATTCATCTATCGGTCTCATATTGAACAGGGTATATCCTTCCTAAATTTAATAAAGCGTATCTTGAATTTAAATCATTAAATAATTTAAGAGCAAATATTTATTTTATCACTTTAAAGTCACTTTAAATAGTTTTTCTATTATTTCACTAATTCATAAACATAAATATAAAAAACCTAAAGATAAGATATGTACAAAATCTAAAACTTTAAAAATCAAATATAAAAAAAAAATATTAAATTGATGCATATTAATAAAGTCTTACTATACATACTGCTTACAGGTAATGGAGGAAGTTCGAAACCAAGGTTCTCAAGAAACTCATAATAAATGTCTAAGCGGTTGTTGCCCAAAGAATTGTGTGTCAAGCTACAAGTTAGGAAAGAGAGTTGTCGACATGCTTAGAGAGGTGGATGGACTCTCGGAGAAACGTTTTGTTGATATTACGCACAAGCTACCCCCTAGGCTGGTGGATGAGATGCCTTCTGTAGAGACTACAGGCTTGGATTTGATGCTCAACAAAGTCTGGAATGCTATTGAAGATGAAAATGTAAACATGATTGGCTTATATGGAATGGGTGGGGTTGGTAAAACCACCCTTATGAAGAGAATTCAAGGTGAATTTGGAAAGAGACAACACAAATTTGATATAGTGTTGTGGGCGGTGGTTTCTAGAGATTGTGATATTGATAAAATTATGGATGCCATTCGAAAGAGGTTAGGGATCAATGATGATATTTGGGACAAACGTAGTCCAGATGAAAGAGCGGGAAAGATTTATCGAGTCCTGAAACAAAAGAAATTTGTGCTAATATTAGACGATTTATGGGGAGAGTTGGAACTAGAAAAGGTGGGAGTTCCACTTCTGAAGGATACTAATAGTCATTCAAAAGTGTTGTTCACAACACGGAATGAGGATGTGTGTGCTAAAATGCAAGCGGGGAAGAAATTTGAAGTGGAATGTTTAAGACCGCAAGAAGCATTTGAATTGTTTCGTAAAATGGTAGGCGAGGAGACATTAAGCAGTCACCAAGATATTCGAGAGTTAGCATGGGATATAGCTAAAGAATGCAAAGGATTGCCACTAGCACTGGTTACAGTGGGACGTGCCATGTCAGGAGTGAAAAGCGTTGCAGCATGGAGTCAAGCCAAAGGTGATTTAAGAAGCTCCTCTTTCATACGTCTAAAGTTGGAAGAGGATGTGTTTCGTATCCTCAAGTTTAGCTATGACAGACTCCCAGATGAAACACACAAGAGTTGCTTCCTATATTGTGCACTATACCCAGAAGATTATGAAGTTGAAATTACAAATCTAATTGATCGATGGATCGGAGAGGGATTTTTGGGTAAAGGTAGGATGAAGAAGAGTATATATGATATGTATGAGGAAGGGGAATCTATCATTGAAAAATTAAAGCTTTCATGTCTCTTAGAGGGCGTTGAAGATTATGGTAATTGGAGGTTTGCAATTAAGATGCATGATGTGATCAGAGATATGGCACTATGGTTAGCCCGTGATGAAGTTGTAGTTGAAGGGGAGGCATTAGGCATGTCAGAAATGGATTTTGAAAGGTTGAATAATGTGGAAAGGATTTCAGTTATAAATGCGAGTGGAAGTTGGCGAGTACCAGCTTGTCCAAATCTCTTAACCCTATGTGTACAGGGGGATAATGTGAATATCACTGACTATTCAAATCTGAAATCCATGCCAAAGTTGAAAGTCTTAGACCTATCAGGCAGTTATATTGTATATCCACTCACAGAAATAGAAAAATTAATGAGCTTGGAATACCTTAATCTGTCAAATACAGGAATGCCAAAGGGATTGCAAATTGATTGGAAAAAGTTGAGGGTATTTCTTATGGAAGAAGTTAATTGTAACACCATTTCTTTAGGAGAGATTGAAAGTCTTGAGCAGTTGAAGGTGCTTAGATTAACTTCCTATTTTGGATTAACAAGTGCGGAAGAGGAGAAAGCACTACTAGAGAAGTTGGAGTGCTTACCAAAATTGGAAGAACTGTGCATCCAATTAACAACCACCCCAGGCCTCCTTAAGTTACTTGAGTCGAACAAATTGAGGGATTGCTTGAGACGTTTTGTGCTTGTCGGAATCATCACGTCACTTGAGGGAAGCCGAAGGTGACAGAGACAACTCTCATGATATATTCCCAAATCTTAAAAGTCTCCTCCTTATAAATTTGGGAAAGCTGAAGAGCATTTATAAGAGAGCATTGGCTTTTCCTTCCCTTAAATTCATTTATATTCATGGTTGCCCAAATCTGAGGAAGCTTCCTTTGAATTCCAACTCTGCCATAGACAGCTTGATTGCAATCGAAGGAGAATCCGATGAGTGGTGGAACAATTTAGAGTGGGAAGATGTAGCCGTTAAAAACTCACTCGAATCCAAATTTCAATTGAGGAAGTACTGGTGACTCTACAATTGTTGGCGTCAATGGCTGTGCAAGCATTGCATTTGAGAGTGGCATAAATACATCAAAAGCTTATTGCCAAGTGTTTCTTTCATACCACTCTTTGAGGGTTTGATTACTAAATCTTTCTTTTTACAAAATTTAGGAAGATGGGCTTCATAGTTATGGGTTAATGCTTTTGTGTGCCAGTTTGGATTGAATTGAATTCATGTATTTCTACTTTTATGATGAAAATATTGATCATAGGGTTGTACTTGTACACACTTGCGTATTTTATTTATCATTAATATATACTTGTTGTTTAGTGTTTGTACATTTCAGCTTTGAATTACTACTGTTATGATAAAGTTTTGAGATTCTTCGAAGTTTCACCCTTTCCCCCACTTTCATGATTATGGGTTTTTATTCTATTTCTCCTCTTTTGCTTTTTGCCCACCTCTGTAGTTGGTATGTTTATTTTACCAGAGATAATATTGGTTAGCTTCAATTAGTAAAAGATCATGAGCCAACATTCTTTTTATGCTAATGCCCCTCGAGTCAATTTAATTTGAAAGGATTGTTCTCTGTTTAGCAAATGCAGCGACAGTTACTGTAGAATATTTGAAGGATTAAAACCACAATGCAAATTGTTTCACAATTATGATTGTTATTTTAATGTGAATAGACAAATAAATAACGGTGAAAACTAGCTGGATTTGAATCTTCTAATTTTAATCTTCAATTTCAAAGAGATTTTAGACTACGAATTGTACATACAGATTTGAAGGCAATATCCCAATATCAAACTTCTATTTAACAAGTCAATGTCAAACCAAGAAAACTTTTAATTGGAGCCGTTGTCATTTATCTTTAGGCAATGCCTTGGATTGAGGATTGTTAAAAAAAAAAAAAAAAAAAAAACTGCATAATTTTACATAAGACAGAATAACATCTTCCCTCACTACATTTCACACTCGCTGCGTGACTGTCTCACCCTCACCCAAAATAGCAAGGTTTGCAAGTGTGTCAAGTCCCACGTATACCTCAACATTATCACAATCTTGCTTGGAAGCCTTCATTTTCTTGGAAACACTAATAAATGCATTGTTAACAACCAAATAGCTATCAAAGCAGCATGCAAACATTTCCACCAGAATTCGCCGTCTGAACAATTGGATTATATGAATTAATTTTAGTACGATGAGCATTTATATCTTATTTTGGCCCTTCAAGATTTGATAATACTAATTTTTGGTATAGGAAGACATAGTGAACCTAAACTATGTAGAGGATCAACATAAATAAATTATAGCATGTTTCTACCAGCCACTGTTATGTCCAAGCATGTTTCTGCTTATAATGTACAATAACAAACCACATTAATAGGTGCCATGTTAAACAAGAGAAAAATAAATAAATAAATAACACCTGCAAACAAAAATCAGCCTCAGTAAAATATTTTATGTGGCTAGTAATTTACAACTTTGATCCATGAACAAGTAACCCAAACTGCCTTCTCCAGAAGATTATTTTATCAGATTGCAGCCCTAAATGCTCCCCTTGCAACCTCACGTTTCATCTCAGCAGCCTTACCACTGCCACGGAAGTACATGTATACTTGCTGTATGTCAACCAAAGAAAAAGTGTCATCCAAAATGCTGTGTGCATGTGCTTAAAATAATTAGAAACCTCTAAAAAGTGTAACCAAACCTGAATAACCCAGACGCTGACCAGTGTCTCAAGACAGAATAATCCAAATCCAATAAAGTAGAAGATCTACAAACAATGGAGAAAATAAAAAATAGATGACCAATTATTCAGAAGCAGAAAATTACTGTATTCGCATTCAGCAGTATTTGCAACAATATCATGAATTGATGACCGCGCAACAATTCTTATATTAGCATAGCATATAATGTCTAAAATTGCTGCAACAGTTTTAGAAGTCACAATTGCAATGTTTGATAATTAAACAGCGTGCAGGAATTATAAGTAATTCATGACAGGCATTCTTACCCCAATCAAAGCATGGTCGCCGAGCACATCTATGGCGGCCAGGATGCCCCTGTGTCAATGAGTCGAACCATTATGTTAAAAAAAAAATGAGAATAACTTCTAGGACTGCTTAGATTTCAAGACAGGTAATTCAGGTGGAGAATGATGATGCACGTCCTAAATCGTATATTCTTTTCATAGGTAATTCTTTCACTTCCATTTTAGAGAAGAAAAAAATGGAAAAAAGATACCTATCTTGTACAAGGAAAATGAATTTAAACGCTCAGTCTCCTTGTTACACAAAACAAAGCCACACGAGCAATATTGGAATGTTAAATAGTGTATATATATATGTATGTATATATATATATATGAAGTTGACATACGTCAGGGATTTTCCTTTGAAAACTATAGGAGGAGCAACTGCAGCTAAGATGCAGAATCCTATGTGAAGCTGTAAACCAAAGAAGAAATGAACATGATTAGATTTCTTCCTGCTTTTGAAGCATAGCATATGTGCTTTAAGAAGTATAATCAAAGTACCAGATAAAACAGGAAAAACCATCCAAATTTTAGAGCACTTTCATTCCTGCAAAATAATAATAATAATATCAACGGAGTGAATTCAAAATCAAGACTAAAACCAAATAAAAAAGATCAAAATATACATGCATATTAGCCTATTGTTCTCATGAATGCTTCCAAGCATAAAAGCAGAATTCTCTTCAGGAATGGACATCTCATCAAAATCTCTCGACACAAACATATGCAATAGTCTCACACTTCATTACATAACTCATTAATTGATTTAAGAGAGAGAGAGAGAAAAATAAGTGGAAAGAAACAAGTTCAATTGCATTAAATCCATTTACATTAGTAATTCAAAACTTTCACGGTTTAGATTAACTATGGATGGGACAAACTGCAATAAAATTTGGTAACACTCATAAAGCCCCACAGTTGAGTAATTAAAATCCAAAAATGCCCCCAGTTTCTCAAGAACAATTTTAGTCTTAGACAAGTGAAATTATCAAAAGAAATTCTCTCTAGTTGCATAATTATTAGGAAAAGTAGAACAACGTAATTCATGTTAAGCGTTGAAAACATTTACCTAAAAGCACGATATAATGGACGATACCACAGAACATATGCTCCAGGAACCCCTGCTATCAAGTAGATAATGGCAAGAAACCATATTTTTACACCTACAGCAAGCATGGCCAAGTTCCACATGCATGGAATTTGGAAATGTCAGATTTGCAATTCGAGCTGTTCAATAACCCAAAAAGATCTTCCTCTATATATCTAAACTCACCTTCACCCCTAATCCAAGCAGCAGTAACAGCTATAACGTTCCATGAAAGGCACACCACTAATCCTGCATAATATAATTTTTCATCAAGACCGTGAACCACACCCCATGCTTACATCATTTTTGGGTATAAAATAACATGACTTAAGAGGATAATCAAGATAGATACATTCTATTGTAAATTTGTAATCATAATTAATTCAAAACACATCGTCATGCTAAGAACAAATAAATAGACAATGCATTTATCAAGCCATTATCTTACTCAATAAAACAGGTTAGTTCCAAGCTGTCAGATTAATGGTTTCAATTGTTGAGGCAAAACTAGTTTCTCAGTAGGTTTAAATTTTATTATAAACCTTTCTTTCAAAACAATTTGGGGTAGAAAGAATAAAAGGTTTCGAATTGCTACATATCAGTATATAAGATGTAAAGTTTTAGCCCTTGATGCCAATTAAAAGAAAATTAAGAAATAAGAAACCTTTTTTTATTAGCTTTCACACAAAGCAGAAATAAAAGGCACCAAGGTCATAACACCAATCATCACAGAACATATAAAGGACCGCTGAAATAGAATATACTCAAGAAAAAAAATAAAAAAGATAATAAATGTGCATGAAATAGCCCCAAGGACTTCTGGCTAAATGCCACAATTGGAACCAAGCACCCCCCGGACCCCCTGTCCCCCCCACAAAAAATAAAATAAAAGAGAAACAGTGAAAAAAAAAAGATAACATACCTAGCAGTGTAGTAAATGCAACATATTGCAGTTTTTGAAGATGTATCGGAATTTCATTCGCAATATCATGATGGATAATTGGGAAAAATGGTGGCCAATTCTTGTCCTCAAGAACAATTCCAGCTGCAAAAACAAAATGTAAATTACCTAGTAAAAGAATCGAGCAGAACTAAATTGTGCAAACAGTTCAAAAAGATTTACAGAATTCTGCAGTATGAGTATTATTCCACTATTCAGCTGAAAGCCAACACAAACAAAAATCACAACCACCTAACCCCCCACCACTCCAAATCCCCAACAAAAAAACTAGCAACAGAAACAATGGATTAAAAAATGATAAAACAAACAAACAACTGAATCATTCTTAACAGTTCCAGAAATAAGTAAACATAAGCCCACACTTCAAATACAAATATCAGGAAATGTAATTACCTCGCGAAGCAGCTTCTTCTCTCCGTCTCACTTCCTACATTTTGACAAATCAAAACAAATAAAAATGCAGGCGAATTTCCAGGTATTTGTAGTTAACAGGGAAGTCATCAGACAAGCCTTCATGCATACAAAGATAACTGAATAAATATCACTAATAGAATGGATATAAACATTGAATAGAAGACAGCATGATTTGATGAGCGCTTATTTAAGAAGACCCATATTTCCAGAGATCAACCAATTATCTTATCATAACAATTTCATATTTTCATATGCCCTCATCATGTCCAAACTTTAGAAAGAAAAAAAAAATTTGTTCCCAAAAATATATATAATACTACTCATCTATTGTCCCAAATTGGAAATTCTTTCTCCAGGACTTCCCGAATCTTAACTCTCCCAAAAATATATATTTCCCACTGCCAATACTTTTTTTTTTACAAAGGGAGAATGCAAGATAATCAATATTATATCATGCAGGACATGACCTCTCAAAGGAAAAAGCTGAAACTTGAAGGGGGGATGAGAAGAAATAAGAAAGGAAAACAGAAGATAACATCAAACAGGAAAGTGTCCAATCTCATTAAATAGTGAACAGAAAGACATAAAGAAATCCCATTGTATACCTGTTCCCTTTTTCTCAATTCAGCCTCCTTGGACTGAAGTTCCTTCTCCTTCTTTTTCAAATCCTGATGTTGAAATAGATCATAATTAGAAAAAAAACCCAATCAATTCTTGCAACAGTTCAAGTAATACATTCATAAATGAAGAAGAAAAAAACCTGAGGATTTCAACAACCTCAATTTTATACATACCGTTGATGTATCAAGAGGTATATCGACTGTCGCACCAAAGCCATAATTATAATCAACAGGCTCTGGCTTAAGAGGTGAAAGCCTTGAATTTGTGGCAGGGGGAACACTTTTAGGATTCTGACAATTTAAGAAACAACATGATGCATAAGGTAAGTTGCGAATTATTTAAGGCTTTTTATCAGCATCGGATATGTATTATACTTCATACAAAATAAAGCTGGTCATGAACCTAAACCTTAATTAAGCTAGTACAAGGATGTTGCCATTACAAGGTAGTGAAAACTGAATAATATCCCTGAAGTCAAACATATAAGATGGTTCCCTGATGCACTGTCACCGAGGATGGAAGGAGGAGGCACCAGCAGGGGCATGTGTCCCCCCAGTGCACCTCTTCCATTTCCTCAATAATTTTTCTCCCCTAATGTTTCACTTGTTGTCACAACATCTTATTTTCTTCTCTCATCTATCAGTCCTTTCCATATTTAAAAAATTGTCAATATCATAATCAAGCACCTATAAAACATCAACAAGCTTTGTATATCATTAATGTGACTTTTAGTTATTCTGTAATCTGTATAGGCTTTTGGTAATTTTTTGTGGCCTTTATAATACTTATATCCTAAGAAGACTTTCCAAACAGAATAGGAAATGATTAAACCAGCAAAAAGCTTAATTCAAAAGGCACCTTCTTAAGGCCAAAACATCATCAGAAAACAAGAAATCCTACATGAAGAAGCAAAGAGAACAAAAACTAGAACCACCTTAAAACAGTTACATACATAAACAAACCCAAAAACCGGTTTCCTCAACCATATCAACTTTAGTATCAAATAAGTCAACCGAAAATCAACAGGCAACAGCAAAAACAGCAATAATTTAACCAAATTTGCAGGCTCAAGCATCACTGAACAGAATCAAATCAATTTCAACACAAAACTGCATACCCAGTTCACAAAATCTCAACTTTAACTATAAGAGCAGCAGTGATGGGATGAGGAAGAAGGGAACTTACAGAGAAGGGATTAACTTCTTCTTCTTCGAAGGGATTGTCATAGCGACCAGCCATGAGAATTTGAATGCAGAGATCTGGGACTGTGCAGAGAATAAAGTCAATTGGGTAACCAAAAAGAAAGGATTTTTGGAATGTTGAGATTTGAAAGTTTTAAACTTGCTATAGAATTTTAGAAGGGAAGGAAGGGAAAGGAAGGGTTGAAAGAGAAGCAACAGATTCAAAGTAATTGTCTTTGGTCAGCTTAATACAGAAGAAATCAACACAGTCTCTGCCTTCAACTTTGTTTTTTCACCAATATATAATTGGGAAATTTAGAAAGAAAAAAGAAATTGTTAAGAAAATGAAGAATTTAAATATGAAATATTCGGAGTATTAATTTTTTTCATTATTACTAATAAACAAAAAGTGATTTATCATTATAGTAAATAAGGTTTTTTAGTTTTAATAAAAAAGAAGTTAAGTGTTTTTTATTTTAAATGATATAGTTTTGTATCATTATTAATGAAACTATGTCGTTTTGATATTTTTTAATATTTTTTTTTACAATTTTTTTTATAAAATTAGAAGGAAAAAAAAAATGGAGGAAAAGAATGTAAAAACATATCACTTAAAATGACAAACTTTTTTCCAAAAAAATTAACATGGAATGATATGTGATTTATTGATATTTTAATTTTCTTTAAAATTTTAATTTATTAATATTAAATTAAAAAATAAAATTTGATGGATTAGTTGTTAATATTGTGGTTCTTGACAAAAGCATAATCAGATGTTCTTTTGAAATAAGTGTATTTTACTTAGTGGTTAAAAAGAAAAGGTAATCAATCTTATTTTTTGTTCTGGTGTTCTAGAGCTTTTATTCAAAATCGCATGTCTTCTTGTCTTTTTCTTCGTGGGATGGCAAGGTTGCTTGTTGCGACTTGCAACCCTTTTAAGTGCTTATTTATTTCAAAAATAAATGATTACTTTTTCACCTTTTCAAGAGAATAAAAATTAACGTATTTTATCAACATAATTTATAGGAATTTATTATTCTTATGTTACATAAAAAAATCTATCTCTTACACACACAAATTCAGGATGAGTCTCACTCTATTCTTTTACTCTTTTCCCTTGAAAGTAGACTTCACTTATATAAATGTGTCAGTAGGAGATAATTATTATCTCCTCATACATGAAAAAACTATTACCCTAATTCATAATATATAACTTTTGTTCTTACTCAAATTCTATCTGTAACTAAACATTTTTAATTGTAAAGACCTGCTCGTAAAATGTTTCAGTTAAAAGTATATTATATTCTTTTTAAATTAAGGGCGAAGGATTTCTAGAGTAAGTTATTTTTGATGAGTTCAAAATGACGTTATTTCGAGGTAAACATTAAGGTATTTTTGTAATTTAAATATTTTGTAGAGTTATATTAATCTTTACCATTAAATTTTTTAATTTTATAATCCTAAGATAACGTCATTTTGAGCTCACTGGAGATAACTTTATCTCCAGTGACTGAAAAAATATTTTTTTCTTAAATTAAAGGGTTCGTTTTTTTTACCGTCAATGTAGATAAGTTCAATGTAAATAAGTTATCTACATTGAACCTAAAACGACGTCATTTTGGAACGAAAATCAAAGTATTTTTGTAATTATAATTTATTTCAGAATTATAATAATCTTTCTCATTTTAATTTTTTTTAATTTTTCAACTCAAAATGACATCGTTTTAGTAGTGAATATAAATAACTTATCTACTTTCACTGTCGAGAAACGTTAAAGCCTAAATTAAATATAAAACTCTCCTTGAAAAGAAAAAGAAAAAGAATTCTAAAACCAACTTAATAACGATACAGGATTTATCAGTAAGTGAAACATATATCAACTAGCACACTAGCACACTTTATCATAGATCTTAAAAAGGAAAATAAATAAATAAATAAATTGATGAGATTGAGTCAGAGAAGAAGAATCGCAATTCGCAGCCCCTACTCTTAATATTGTCAAACTCGAGTTTCTACGTAAAAATGGAAAGGGATGATAGAAACATAAAACGTAGAAATGACACGAAACGTAAAGTTTCTACTTTCTACTATTTAAGGTCAAGATACAAAATTATATATATGTATGTAAAAAAAAATCACACAATGAACATGTGTATTAAGCCACTTATTTATTTAAAAAGAATTTTTTTTTTATAACCAAGTATCAAAATTATAATTGGATCATCACTTATAAGGATATAATTCCACTTCTTTAAATGCACACAATGATCCAAAAACACAAAACGATTCTCATAGCATAACTTATAATATAATTGCAGCTTTATAAGACATAACTTATAAAAGACATATATCCAAATAAAAAGATATCAAGATATTGTATATATGATTCGGGGGAAACGAAAATTAAATTTTTCTTAATTTTTTTTTTAAGATTTCGTTTTAAGTAAAAACGGTCGAAACAGTAAAAACGCAACTTTTTATCGTTTTTACACGACATTTTTACCAATTTTTATCAAGGACAATTTTTACTTGCGTTTTAACACGCAGCACTCTAGTAAAAACTTAAATTTTTACATTTTTACACTAATTTTTTTGACAACAATGCCTACTCCAACACTCATCTGAAGGGAGGTTTATGAATCCCCTTTTATTTACTTTTTTTTTCTTTCCAGATTTGTACCATAAAAAGAAAATGAATTCAAAATCTCGGCACCACTGCGGGCCAAATTCTCTTTATCCCCTTAGGCATTACTTGTCAAATACATTTAATTGAGAGAGGCACGGTTTGATTAGCAAATCCAACCGAACCAAATTTAGAACTGATCTGAATCGAGTGACCTGAATTAATTTTGAAAAATAATTCGGCTCTTAATTAATTACGAAGAGTAATTCAACTCTTAAATCCGTTTATAAAAAATGTTATTTGATTCGATTTACTGTTCGATTCATATTATGTTTTATTTACACTCCTAATTTTATTTTATTTTTCTTAAAACAATTCATTTTATTCTTAAACGATACCTTACTTGCTAGGTTCTATTTGATTCAGTCCAAAGAACCGTTACAGAAATTTTTGAAAACTACTTATTATAACTGGACTCATTAGTGGGCCAACAAGAGTAGGATGCTTTTTCTTTCTTTCTTTCTTTCTTTTCGGTAAACGGAGTAGGATGCTAATTTTTTTTATTTTTTTTTGTGGCTAAGGGTGACAGATCACCCCAGCCAAAAGAAAAAAACTAAGAAATAAAATCAACAAACACCTCTACGAAGAAAGGCCTGGAAGGGGCGACTGAAAAAACAAGAAAGAATCTTCTTGTTGACAATTAAAAGAGATATTAGCCAACCAATCAACACATTGATTTCCTTTTCTGTAAATATGGATGAGGCGAAATGTCCACTCTCTGGATAAAAATACTCGTATTCGAGTCACCAAACGAAACTCACTAGCAGCATTACCCTTATTGGTGAGCATCGCAATTACATTGCTTGGGTAGCTTTTCACTATTACTTGTCTCCATCCTTTTAATATTCTCCAGAACTCTGCAACTAGAGCTGAGCAATATCCAATATTATAAGTGAAACCACCTAACCAGTTACCAGCATGATCCCTAGCCGATTACCACACGCAGCAAAACCTGAATTACTTTTAGAAACACCATCTGTATTAATTTTAACCCAATCAACCTCTCGGGAAACCCAAGATCTAAGAATATTCATGGGTTTCACCTTGTCAAGCAAAAATGCCTCTTTAATTCTGTTTGCTGGACGCAAGATAAATTCAGATCTGTAACAATCATTACCTAATTCTTTCCCATGAAATTGTTCATTTCTCCATAGCCATATTTGATTATAGGCCAAGAAAAATAGTGTAATCCAAGGAAATTCAAAGACTTCAATATAACCTTCTACTAACTTTTTTTTGAGCCAAGATTCTAAATTACCTTGAAAAAATTCTGTGGCTTTTTGTATTGGAACCAGTGACGTCCACAATCCTCTAGCTTGGTCACAGTCCCTGATAGCATGGAGGATGGATTCATTCGCATTATGGCACAGCGAACATGAGGGATTAGCTACACCCCAATTCGCTATTAGCATTTGTGTTGGGAGACGTTGATGTAACAATTTCCGGCTTTTTGACCCTTATGCCCCTTAATTAATAATTAATTACCAAATTTCCCCTCATTCAAAACTATTTCGAAAATTTACCCTCCCCAACAAACATAACACCAATCTGCCCCTGTTCGACCGTTGACCACGAAGCCTACCCGGGTACACCATTACCTACCCGGGTAAATTTTGAAACTTTTTATCTACCCGAGTATGTAGGGGTGTACCCGGGTAGAGTTCTTGAATCTGGGAAAATGTTTGAATTATTTACCCGGGTACGGAGCAGTGTACCCGGGTAAACATCGACGGTAGGGTTTTAAAATACCCCAGCAGCCCCATTTCGAAAACCCACAAAAGGGGTACCCGAGTAGAGCTGCTGGAGGAGTGTCATCTTGAGCGATTTCAGGCATAATCTTGCACTAATTCGTCTTGTTTGTGATCATCATTCGCGGACCTTGCAACCTCTCTGCCTTCTACCGATTGAAATCGATCAAAGGTGCATTTTTTTTTCAGTTTTTTCAATTATGTTATGATTTCTGTTCTGATTCATTGTATTTTCGTTTATATCATTTGATTCTGTCCGAATTATTTTATCAATTTGTATGTCATACGCTTACCCTAACCCTAACCCTAACCCTGAATCTAACCCTAACCCTAACCCTAACCCTAACCCTGAATCTAACCCTAACCCTAACATGTATCTAATTTCTGATTTTGGTTATTTTTTCAGTTTAATAGTGTGACACAATGACCTCTCGACGCGTTTCAAAGCTGCCAGTGACCCATTCCGAGAGAAGAACCAAGAGTCGTCACGATGGGTCGTCATCCTCTCAGCCCCAGGCTGCTTCGAGTCAGGCTCCGGACTTGACGTTCGGATATTTGTTTGAGGATGACATTCCTTCACACGAGAAGTTCGTGAAGTTTTTCATGACCCGGAAGATCTGCGAACCGAAATCACTGGATTCGGCATTCTTCAACCTAGAGCGTTTTGACATTGTGCCGCTTCTTGAGCAGACACATTTACTTCACCTGGCGGAGATGCGGTGCCCATACTCGGAGGTTATGGTAAGAGCCTTCTACCAGAACCTTGGCTACTCGCAAGACGAGCTG